GGCCTACCACTCGACCGCCACACTCCTAACCTTCATTTCCCTTATTTACTCTTGTATTGGCAACTGTGTGTGTGTAGCGGGCCCTATTCAATTCAGATCCAGATTTGTCCCAAATCAGAGACAGTGATTCGATTTGTTGATTCGGATGTCCTTGATTTGATTCAGCTGAATCTGAAGATTTGATGCTGATTTGGAGAATCAGCGATTTGGCCATAGACACAGCTTTAAAACTTTTTTCTACATACCATGAGGTAGCAGGTGTGGCTGGTGATTGCTGGGGTGCATGGAGTGTCCCACAGGAGTGCACTCTGTGCACTGTGTGTGGGGGGGGGTTACACGTGCTCGGTGGTGAACCCGGAAGCACTTCCAGCCCACTTCTGGGAAGCACGCTTGGGACACCTTGCCCCCATGTTCCCCCAGCTTGGCGATTGGCTGCAGGGTGAACCCGGGTGCCCATCTGAAACCCAGAAGGCACCAGTCACCAAGCCAGGAGGGCCCCCCAGTGCGCTCCCCAGCAGACCCAGAAGTGAACTGGAAATGCTTCTGGTCCACTACTGGATCTGTTGCTGAGCACACTGGGGAGCCCCCCGTGCTCCTGTGGGATGCTCTATCTGCCCCACCATTGCAGCATTCATGATCCGCCTGCTACCTAGAAGTATGTAGAAAAAAACATTTAAAGCTGTCTCTATGTCCAATCTCTGAATCTTTCCGAATCAATTCAGAGGGTTCTGATTCGACTTGGGGAGATTAAAGAGTCTCCTGATTCGATTCAGATTCAGAGATTCAGCCACTGAATCGGGCCGAATCTCCACCGAATCAAATCAGGGACCCAAGCTTTGCACAGCCCTATTGGCAACTTCTTGCATTCTGTTACTTAATCTCAGAATCACTTTTTTTTTTGCTCATAGCACCAACCACTTTCGTTCGGCAAAGTCTTCCTAAGTAGATCCGTTCACCAATTGTATAGCACTGAAATGTATTCATCTAAATTCCCTTGTCACTTCATCAGGGATTAGAAACTTCATCCATACTCAGTCCTGGCCTAATATAATAAAGGGAGATACAATCTGCCCTAAAATTAATGGGAACTAAACCTACTTATTCCAAGCTGAATGCAGCTCCTTGCCATTGCATGTCTTTAAATCATTGTGTACAGCATCAAAATTAGTATTCTACCTTAAACAAGAATTACAGTGATAGATTATTGGGACCCTATTGAAAATATGTTTTTAAAGAATAAAGCTAAATAGTTTTAATTAAAAAACAAGTTTTGCAATAAAAGGCCTTTTTTAAAACATGCGACTGGAAATGATTTTTGAGAGATAAATTGAATTAAAAGAGATTTGTATTTATTTTTGTGGAGGGAAATGTGGTAAGAACTTTGGATTCCAGAACACACAACATCAGACGACTTAAAATAATTGAAATTCCTGTATGTTGTGAAACACTGGGCAGTTTCAGAGAACTGGAGGAAAACTTATGTTGTGCCAATATTTATAAAGGGTAAATGAGACAATCTGCGTAATTATAAGCCTGTCAGGCTTACACTGGTCCAAGGTAACATAATGGAGTGAAAAGAATGAAACAAGATACTATTAATGAAGAATTAAGAGAGACTAACAAATAACACCATTCTACATGGATTTGTGGAAAACCGATCTGGTCACACAAATTTAATATCTTTTTAATGAAATGGTAAGTTGATACAACAGGCTTCTGTAAGGCATTTACAGAAACTAGAATGATAAAACCTAAACATGACAGATATTAAATGGATTCAAAACTGGCTGATAAGTCTCAAAACATTATTGTAAATGGTGTATTGCCAATTAGCAGATAAACAGTGATCCTGAAAAAGACTTAGGGGTTATGGTGGATTACCTGAGAGAGAGGAGATCCTAGTGTAATGGCATATCAAATAGGGTCTATATCAAGCAGAAGAATGGAAGTTATAGTACCTCTGTATCTGGTGCTCAAGCTACCTCTGCTGAATATTATTTATTGTTCTGGGGTTGGTAATCCAAAACAGATGTTGATACATTGGGTTCAGAAGAGCCACAAAAATGATGAAAAGATTACAAAATACATCTGTACAGTGAAGGCCTCAAAGAGCTTAATCTATTTGATATATATCAAAGAGGACGTTCAGGGTTAACTTTATCTTAGTCTATAAGTACCAGCAAGAAGAACAGAAATTTTATAATAGAAGGTTCTTCAGCCTAGTTGACAAAGATGCAACAAGATTCAAATCGCTGGAAGTTGGAAGTACATGAATGAAAACTGGAAATAAGATTGAATTTTTACCTGTAAGGTAATTAACTACTAATTAACAGCCAGTTATGACTGGTTGTGGTGAAGTCTCTTATCACTGGAATTTTTAAAATAATACATGGCTGTTTTCCTTAAAAATAGCATTATTTTAAACAGAAGGGAATTAATGCAAGGAAACCTATGGCTTGTGTCATACAAGGAGGCAGAAAAACTGGTTCCTTAAACATCTGTGACATCATAGATATGTTTAACAGCATAATAGTGTTGTGTAGAGTAATAGTGTTGTTAGCTCTAACCAAGCAGGCCAAAGAAGAAGAAAGAACCTAAACACATTAGAGAAACAGGGTAAATTAGTTTAGGTGGAGCACCATGTAAGTGTGGTTGAATTGCTTTCATTACCCAAATGCTCAAAGCAACCTTAAACACTTCTCCATGGCACTATACTGGGCCATGTAGATGCACCCTGTGAGAGTGAAAATAAAAGTAAAAATTATCAGATTGGTTTTTAGAGTCAAAATATGAATAAAGATGCAATTGTGTTAACCTTCCAAATAGCAAAATAGGAAACACGATTTTTTAAAATTCTGTGTTTTAATAATCAGAAATAATCAGAAATAATCAGAAATAGCTGTATTATTGACATGTAAAGTAAATATTTTAATGTGATGCTTACATGGATAAAACTTCCCTTTATAAATATAATATAATATAAATGTGCACTTATTCAGTAGTCTAGAATGAAGCTTTCTTGGATACCGAATAGTTATGACATTTTTAAAAAATGTCATAGGAATTCAATAATTAAGTGGTTCTGAAGGAGCATGATGGACAATAGAGACCCAGTGTGATGCCTGTGTGCCCAAGGCACAGTGATGCATAGATGAAGCAGCATCAGTGACTGTGCTGCCTGTAACATGGTGGTGGCCAGTCTGATCTCAAAGCCACTTCTATTTTTAAATCCTCCTTTCTGGGGTTGGTACCCTGGTGCCTTGGTCACCCCCTCTTTGTTACACTACTGGTAAAGAATGTAGATTTTATAAACTTTGATGGCAGATCAAAGAGGAAAGGTTTTAAATAGGCAGTGATCAAGAGATACACAAGGTAGTAGCAAATCAAAACGTTAAATCATCTGTGACCCATACTATTACAAGTGCTGGGAGGCTGAACTTGTATCCTGAACTCAGACAAAGGAACAGTGAGGGCCATAACTTGGAATTTCCTGGCTGTCATCAATTTCTGTCACAACCATAATGTTGTTTCAACATGTTTTCAGTTTTTAATTTTTTTCCTTTAATATAGTCTTAACTAGACATAAAATGGAAAAAATGTACTATTTCCACTGAGCATTGATGCCTTTGACATCTGCTTCCAAGTGTTATTCATCACCATACAATGTAACAATCTGAGAGCAAGTACAATGTACCTTTTGGAAAAAGTGACTCTAATTGCTTCTCATAACAAAGCCTGCCCTTTCCCCTAACGATTAAGGCTTTATGGACATTTTAAAAAGAAAAGCAGAACAACCCACCTACACTTCCTAGTAAGCAGTAGCATTTACATTGTTTGCTTTTTAGGGTCAAACACTCCACCTCACAGATGGTGAAAAGAGAAATTCATCCACACCCAAACACAAACACACGCAGCATTCCTTTTCCAATCCATGGCTCCCACCACACTTTCCATCCCCGCCCTTCCCAACGTGGGACAATTTCACAGAATGACAAAACATTGAGGGTAGAGTAAGGAGAACAGCAATCTAGGTTTTCTTGATCCCAACTCAGTGCAGAAGGGCAGACCAGATGATCTCTTGCTTTCCCTTACCACTCCACATTTCTATAATTTTAAGGATCTAGAATCTCAGTTTCCCTGTCTGTAAACCACAGGTAATAATACTCACCTTTGTAAAGCCTGGAATTCCTTGCATGAAAAGGGTCTTAAGTACAAGCCATGATTGCTGAGGCAAATATTGCAGGGTTTTTACCTAGCCACACTTCCTTTAAAATTGATAGGCTAAAAAGTAATACCTATAGTTTGCTACTGTATTTTCTCACATACAAAAGACGTGTTTTTTTCAAAAGAAAATCAGCTCCGGAAAATGGGGGGTGAGCATGGAAATGAGGAAATACTGTAATAGCAGTTTCAGAGTAAGTCTGCATCCGATCCACAGGGTGGGTGTCTACACGAGATGTTTGCTGTGAAATTGCCTAATTAACATCGTAGTAAATGTCTTGCATCTACATGTGCAATTCCATTAGGATGGAAGAAACTAATAACCTCCACATCAGGTTAGTACTTGTAAATAAAAGTACTATCCCACTGAAGAGTTTTGTTTTGTTTTTTTACTTCAGAGCACTGCACACGTAGACTCTGATGCAGCCGGCTGGGGCCATGAGGGTGCTTCAGTGCAGGGCCTG